AGAAATAATTTCCTCTCTGTTAGTGAGAATTAAGTCCAATATGGCTGATCCCCTTGTTCCCTTCTCTACATTTTGGGAGTAAAAGTTGTCTACTTCCTCTGCTTGGTTGGGTGGCCTGTAGGATAGACCTATGGCAATGTCATTCCCCCCCCCAACCTTTAATATTGACCCAAATGCATTCAAGATAGTTCCAATCATTGTTGTGCTCTATTTCTGTAGAGAGGTAATTATTTCTTATATATAGTGTAAATTCACCTTCTGTTTTATTTCTGTCTATTTCTTTTAAATAATTTAAATCCTTCTAGCTGTATGTTCCATTTGTCAGTTTCATCCCACCAAGTTTCTGTAATGGCAACAATATTGTATCTGCCATCTTTTACTTGAATTTCTAATTCTCCCTGTTTATTCCTCTTACTCTGTGCATACATTTGTGCATACAAGAAGTAGGGTATGCATCGTAACGTGACATCTTGCTCTTGTCCTTCACTGATGATTACTCTCCTATCAGCAGGTTTTCCTGCCATGGCTCCCTTCCATAAACTCTGACATTATAAGATGTGCTGACATAAGATGTTCCTATAAGAATACAGGAAGAACAAAATTGCACATGGATAATTTTGACATAGGGATTCAATCCTCTAAATTTTATTTCAAATATTAAAAAAAATAATGAAAGCAGGCTGATTGAGCTAAGAGATTACACCTCTTTGGCTGGACCAGCTGCAGGGTTTGATAGTTGGGAGCACTGTGCTATGTTGGTTCACTCTCAGAGGCTGAGTTCATTCAGTGTTGACAATGGAAGGAGAACCAGTCATGCCTTTGGCCCCTGTAATGATCTGAGAATGTAGTGACCCTATGAGAATGACCTTAGAAAACAGGAGGAAGAGCTGCAGCTTAGACAACTATCATGCAAAAGTATCGCAGCCCAGAGAAGGAAGAGAGACATGTGACGTGTTTCTGAAGGAACCTAGAGATCTAGTTTTCTGGAAAGTAAAAGTAAAGGAAGAAGATATATTTGCAATTTTCTATTAGTGTAGCATTATAATAAATGTTAGTATTGTGGTTTGTGCTTCTTGTCTGGAACACCCCAAAGGCCTGACAGCTCTTCATGGTGGAGTGCCCCAGGACTCTGTCCCTCTCTGTTTAATAACTACATGAAACAATTGGGTGAGGCCATCAGTCAGTTTGGGTTCTGATATTATTAATATGTGTATGTACACTTCAACTCCAAGCCACCCAGGTGATGCTTCAATGTTTTGTCCCAGTGCCAAGGTTTGCAGTACTGGATGGAGAGGAACAAATGTAGACTTAGTCCTGCCAAGACTGTGTCTTTTTTTGGCCTCTGGACTTGGGGATTTTCCATCTTTATTCTTGGATAGGGTTCCTCTTCCCACATGCAACACTGTTGCACAATCTAGGGGCTGTATTGGACTCACAGCTCCTGTTTCAATGGCAAGGACACCTGTGGCTAAGAATCTTTGCAGAATTTCAGCTTCATCTGGTCTGCTAGTTGTGCCTATTTCTGAATCAGTAGGTCCTTTAGTCAGTTATTCATGTTCTAATCACTCCACAATTAGGCTCTTGTAATGCACTGTAATGGGGCTGCCCTTGAAGACCACTTAGAAGCTGCAATTAGTTCAGAATGCAGCAGTGCAAGCAGTCACCCATGTGATACTACTCCAAGATAAACTGATTGCTAATAGCTTCTGAATACAGTTCAGAGTGCTATTTATCACCCATAAAGCCCTTCAAAACCTAGGTCCAGGATATCTCTTATGGTCTCATACCATTTGGTATGCATTGGTTTCCTCAATTAAACCATATCCTTTATTGGGGATGACAAGGTATGACTTCTCTGTCATTGTGTCTGCCATCTGGAATGATACTCTCCGAGAGGTGTTTATATCCCACTCTGATGGTGGTATTGTTACACAAGTCTTTAAAAATCTGTATTCTCCCAGGACTTAGAATGCGGTGTTTGTGAAGCTCTGGCTGGCTGGTTGTACACTTTGTTCAGATGTTTAGATTCTTTTGTTTTCCTATTTTAAATGTAAGCTGTGTGGAGTTATTCTTGAGTCAGGTGGGTTCTAAATCAACCAAATAAATAAATAAATAAATAGATAGATGATAGATAGATAGATAGATAGATAGATAGATAATAGTTTTGACATTCTTTCCTCCAAATTCTAAAATTTGTAATTATGCTACTATTACAGTATAGTATAGTATGGTACATTTGCTTTTTCTACATAAATATCTTTTTGAAGGAAAATCATGCATGAGAATGTTAATAAAAAGAAAGTGTGTTTGATTGCAGATCATTGGATACAGCAAATATTTGACTGCCGTGAAACTATTAGCCTGATTTTTAAAATTTATTTTTTGTCTCCTAGAATTAATGATATTGCCAACTTATGTGCAGAATTAACTGCTTGCTGTACAGTCCTAAGTTCAGAGTGGTTAGGAGTCTTGAAAGCCCTTTGCTGTTCTTCAAATCATGTCTGGGGATTTAATGATCTTCTCTGCAGTGTGGATGTAAGTGCAAAAGATGAACATAAAATGATAAGTCTGATTTTTATTTTGCATGGTGAATATTTCTAGTTTTCTTGTATAATAAAAAAGGCAGATAATTCTTTGGTATTATGCTTCTTACACATAAGACAATATTAGTTGTTAATTTACGTGAGTCGTTCCTGCAATGTTCTGCGCTTTCCACTGGTTTCATGAGAGATTCTGCCTGATACCAGAATATAAGGCAGGGGTGTCAAACTGACTGCCCTTGGGCTATATGCATTATGCAGGCCATGCCCACCCCAGCTCCATAAAGAGACAAACCATTGTGATACATCACTTGATGGCAACATGACATGGCGAGTTTGACACCCATTGTAAAAGGGAAAGCAGTAGTTTGAGAAACCTGTAACTGTTCATTGTAGTCCAAGGACTTTTCTATATAGAACTTTTTATACACTGAATTAATTAACAACACTTAATAGAATAGTGGAATTATTAAATTTGAACCAAAATTAGGGTAGCATTTTATGTATTCCTTTATTCTCTGAGTTTGGGTGATAATTTCCCATTGACAAGATAACTGAATCATGGTGTCTTGTCTTGGCATAATGTTATAATAAAGTCATTTCAGTGCAGTAGAACAAGTATAGTCTGGTGGCAGCTGGATGTATCTACCTGTTGTGTTAATTGTGATGTAAGTTACCTTAGCTGCTGAACACTGTTACTTTTGTCCCGAGTTGTATTATCTCTGTACAGCAATGGTGACTTCACACTTTCAGATCTCTGACTTGCGGGGTCAAAGCAAGTTAAATACTAGCAAGTGATATATTGTGGCACAGAATCAGGGAAGGGTAGATCAATCAATTGAAGGAAATAGAAAACCATACAAAAGAAAGCCATACTTCTACAAAATGAAATCCATGTAAAAAGACCATGTTTCTGTACTATCAAGTGAACCAACAGAAATGTTGAGCCTTTCTTTTTCTCTTTCTCTTTCTCCTTTAAGGTGAGTGATCTTTCATTCCATGATTCATTAGCTACCTTTGTTGCAATACTGATAGCTCGTCAATGTTTTTTCCTTGAGGATGTTGTTCAACACGTAGCTCTCCCTTCTTTACTTACAGCAGGTGAGGTTTCAATGTGTATTAAAACAATAAAAGTCCCCACTTCTTGGGGAACAAGATTTGCTAAGATTGTTTGTAGAACAACCCATTTGCTCACGAACTGTCTCTGTGCTAGAAATCAAAGCATTTTATCTTTTTTGCATTTATCAATTGAACGTGTTTTTTAAAAAATATTCTTTTATTTGGGATGTCCTGTCATGAAATATTTATTTGGGATGTTTCTGCCATAAAATATTAATTTTGCTTTGGGCTTTGGTATAGTGTGTTGCATAGCTATTGTTTTCCCTCTCATGATATTGTCTTACTTTTGAATTTTTATAAATTCATCCGATCTTAGATCTTGCATTATGTTTACTTGAAACCACTTCTAAAAGTCTCACACAAATTCATATTTCACTTTTAAAATATTTTTTACATCTATTCTATATTTTCCAGTTCCTCCATTGTTATTTCCCATAATCTTTCTTCATTGTTACATTCAACATTTATGTCTTTTTACAAATCATTTTTCTTCAATCATATAATTCACATTTGTCATTTTTCTTCATACGTTGTCTTATCAGTATCCATCAAATCTTAAAATGCATTCAACATGTTAAACAATTGCTTAAATATTTTCTTATTTCATATTAAGATGAAATATTAAGCTGGAAAATTAGATAGGAGAATTGATCCCAAACAGGATAAAAATATATTTATGAAAAATTCTTTATTAAAAAAACTTTTATTTTGCAGAACATTTGATTTAGGAAGAATTTTCTTCAGCATTGATATGTGAAAGCCTTATTTTTTATTTTTGTTTTAATCAAATATTTCAAATCATTTGAAAGGATTTTTTTCAGTTGCACTGAGAATGACAATTTAGATTTCTGTGATGTAATAATGAAGTGGTCCTCTTTTCTTAGCTTGTGGAGATCCAGATGCTGAGCCAGGGGCAAGGATGACTTGCCGGCTTCTTCTACATCTCTTCCAAACACCCATGATTTCCCTACTGTCAAATGGTAAGAACTCCACATTCATTTCCTCTCTTAAAGTACAATAGTTTTTGTGCCACTGAAACATAAATCAGTATTCCTAAAGCATATTGATCTTTTTTTATACAGAAAAATGTTTTCCAGGAATTCGGTCATCTTGCGACCGCCGCCTTTTAAGTGCTGCTCACAACAGCATTGAAGTGGGAGCAGTATTTGCTGTTTTGAAAGCAATTCTTATGCTTGGTATGATCATGCTTTAAAGTTCTTCATATACATGTTTACTTTGAAGTTAGGCATATGGTCCTCAGAGGGATAGAGAATTCTTTATTGGTCAAGTGTGATTGGACACACAAAAAATGTGTCTCTGGCACATAAGCTCTGAGTATACATACAAATATACAGTGTACATACAAACAACAAAGTGATAAATCATAAGATAACCAATAGGAGAAAGTAATGGGAAAGATGAGAAGGATAATAGCAACACAGCCCTAATACATAGGTAAATATCTTTAGACAGGAGTCAGTGTTGGGGAGTTAGGTATTTAGTAGACTAATGGGAATGGGGGAAACTGTCCTAGTATTTAGTTGTTTGGGCATGCAATGGGATTTACTCTCAGATGTACATTTGGATATTTACTGAAAACATGATAGATTCTAAACTTGAAACTTTTCTAGGAAGTGAATCACAGTGCCAGAAACATCTTCCAGGATGAATTATAGGTTAATAAAAGTAAAAATGGGGGCTAATATAGGGAACTGGATGAGATGATCTGGAAGGTACTGGTTAAAATAGACAGACGGGTAGGTAGAACTGGGGGAAGGAGTTAAATGTGTCATCAGCTTAGAGACCTTGCCTTTCCACAAATCATCCAAGTCCAGCCCCCCTTGAATTCTGTTGACCCTTATCTAGTGTCAATTTAGTGCTGAGCATTCATTGACTAGATTCTTCTGTATAGGCCTAAATAAATCTTCTGTGCTGCAAACTGCAAACAGATATGGTCCTGATCCTTTGCACTTGACACAGGCCAATGGAGACTAAGTTAGAGCGCACTTGTCCACAGATCTCAGTGTTGGCTTTGGGCCAATCAGTGCATCCCAGCTTAACATAAGAATTAAGTTATTGTACTTGGTAAAAACAAAGAAGTATCCTCCATTTACATTTAAACTCCTAGAAAATAAAGACAGGATGTAAAATTAATAGCTAAATAACATAATGTCTACCAATCAGTATTCTTCCTCTACAGTAATATAAATTTATCTTTAATGTGTTTGCTTATTAAAGTATTTAAATTTGGTGTTGTATGGCATTGTTTTTTATTCGCTGTAATGTATTTTTTTTAATCTTACATACTTGTAAGAACTCTAGGGTGGTAAATTATATTATACTATAGTGTACATAATCGAAGAAATGTTTATTAGACTAACTTTTCTAAAAAAAAAAAAAAGCCAGAAATCCTCAAATATTAAAATAATATGTCAACAACTTCTAAAATTGAAAGTAGCATTAAGCAAAAATAAATTAAGAGGGTACTTAGGTGAAAGCCAAACTATATTAAAGGACTAATACATATTTTCATCTTTTTGTTTTACTTTTTCTACAATATAGGTGATGCTGAAATTGGAAGCAACAATATTCCCTCCTTGAAAAATTCAGATTACTCAGTACAGAGATTATTGGGAGATCTAAATGATGATGAGATATGGGAAGCTACCTCAAAGTCTTTGTATGAAAAAACCATTTCAATAGAAACTGCTACACTCAGTGAATATGCTAGATATGTACTAAGAAGCATTTGTCAGCAGGTAACACCTGCTTTCCTTTCCTTTATTATTGTGTACATAGATATAATTTTGCAAGTGACATTATTGCCATACTCCAGAGATTGTGAAAGTTGATGACTGCAGACTTCCTGTGGTGTGCATTGGTCTGTGTGTCCATGTGGAATTGAAGTCATTATCCTTGCCAGTATATTCTGCTAAGTGTAAATAGGATCAATGTGGAGTAGGACCAAAGACAATCAAGACCTTGACTTTCAATCTCTTCAATCATGTCCAGTCTCTCGTATAGCCTAAACTAGAGCTAATAGTATTATGATGATAAAATGCCAGTGACATACATTTTAACTCTTGCAAAGAAAAGGCAAGATATGAATATATTACATGTAATAACTATAATACTGCAAACCGGTATTTTATTCAAAATTATTTCAAATCATGTATACAATAGAAATGACATCTACAATATTTATGTTCAAGTCAGATCTTCAGTACAAGTATTGAAGTTACAGTGCAAGATGAAGTTAGACTCCTTTTTTTGTGATACAGAAGTAATATCTAGTATGATTTCATTATTTTTGAAAAATACTGTGTTTTTGTTATATACTTGAGCTACATTCAAGTTAAACATTTAAGTTTGGCTTTGACTTTTGTACTGATACTTATTCTCCATCTAATTTTTGGGGTAGGAATGGGTAGGAGAACACTGCTTGAAAGAACCCGAGAGGCTATGTACCGACAAAGATCTTATCCTGGATCCAGTTCTCTCCAACAAACAAGCACAGAAATTGTTGCAGCTTATCTGTTACCCTCACAGTATTAAAGAATGTGCAGAAGGGGACAATCCTCAGAGACAACACATCAAGCGCATTCTTCAGGTAACCACATTTAAAATGAAATTATTTAAGCTCAGATAAGAAAAAACGTTTGATTTGCTTTTTCCATTGCATTATTGTTGCTTACTTTTTTCCAAATGAAGTAAATATTTGGAATATTGTTTCATAATTATTGATAGCACTTAGACTTATTTACTGCTTCATAGCACTTTACAGCATTCTGTGGACAGTTTACAGAGTCAGCATATTGCACCCAACAATCTGGGCCCTCATTTTACCAATCTCAGAAGGATGGAGGGCTGAGTCAATTTTGAGCCCATCAGGATCAAACCTCTGTGGACAGAGTTAGCCTGCAATACTGCATTCTAACCAGTGCACCACCGGAAGTTGTTAAATAGAAACAGTGTGCAATGATAAAGGTGGAATAATTGATTCATAGAATGGAATCAGTTCTAATTGATTGGGAATTATCAAATTAGTCAAATTGCATCAGTCTGAGAATATGTTACCACAGACTTCCTGACTATCACAGTCCGGCATTTATTTAAATACTTCTTATATTTAGGAAAATTATAGGACAGCCTTCTACTACTTTTTGGTTGTTGTTTTTTGGATACAATTAAGTTTCTCAGTGTCTTTGCTAAAATTTTGATGCTCGGAACTATACATTATATTCTATAAATATCCTTATATAATATTGCTATTGGTTTGGGGATGGGGAGGATAGCTGCACAACACTGTTGTTATGATGCAGGCTATGATTCACCTTCTATTCGTTGTAATATGTTCTACAATTATCTTTGGATGCATCATGGTTCAAGTTGAATGGCATTCTACTACAAAGCTGTCTTTTAGGCCCAGTGCTATGCCACATATTTATACATAACTTGGATTAAGAAATAGAAGATAAGGTCATCACATCTACAGGGGTGTGGGTGGGGAGGCAAACAACATTTTGATAACAGTATACAAATCAAGAGACTCATAAAAGAGTGAAACAATTAGAAGAAACTAGCAAGTTGAATTTTCACTGGGAGAAATGCAAAGTGCTAGATTTGAATATGGAAGCTCAAAAGCATATGCACAGATGGCATTCCCATTGTTAAACTAGATTTGAATGGAAGACAAACTTTAATCAAGTGTATTGCTATAAAGTCATATTCCCCTTCTGCAGCCAAATTTTCTCAATTTAATCCACCCACAGGATTCCACCTGCAAGAATGATCAAAATTAGCTGTATATAATATTCATTTGCAGCCAGTGACGTGCAGTGAGGTTTATGGCTGGTGAGGCACTGACACAATTTTTTTTAGACTTGTGGACTTCAACTCCCAGAATTCCTCAGCCAGACATGCTCACTTCTGATTTAAAGCAACAGCATTTGTTTTTCTCCTTTGCGAAATAAGTTTCCTTCTTTCTTTTTCTTTTTCTTCTCCCTTCCCCTCCTTCCTCCCACTCTTCCCCCCTCTCCCCTTCTCAAACACACACACCACACTTGCTTAACTCTGCTCGTGTGATCATAAAACGCCTAAAGTCAGACTAGATGAGGCACGTCGTTCTCCTGCCTTCTCCTGTAGAGGGCACTTTTTGGAGGCTTTTTTAAGCAGTTGCACTAAGCAGAGTCATCCACTGTGACTCTGGCAGCAACTAGCTCAGCCTGACCTCAGCTCTTGCCTTTTTCCTTTTACATTTTTTTTTCTTTTCATGATGACAGTGGTGAGGCTCTGCCTCCCCTGCCTCCCCTGACTGCACATCACTGTTTGTAGCCAAATATTTCATCCCACATAATAAAACCATATATCAACTTTATTAATGAAAATAATAATTCTAGAAATGTTACGAAGAAAAAATTTCTCCTCTGTTTTTTGATCCAGAATATAGACCAGTGGACTCTTAGACAGTCATGGCTGGAACTTCAGCTAATGATCAAACAGTGTCTGAAGGAACCTGTGAGTATTTCTTCCTTTCTTTTTAATTAATCATGTACCTTTACAAAATAACTTAGTGTATGAGCAAACATAACATGAATGCGCTAGTTTACTTATGTTTTACTGTAGGGTTCTGGGTCTGTGGCTGAAATGAACAGCTTGTTGGATAATATTGCAAAGGCGACAATAGAAGTGTTTCAGCAATCCGCTGATCTAAACAATAACTCTTCTAACTCTGGTATAGGCCTCTTCAATCCAAACGCTCTTGGAAATGCTGACACGCCTATTACAAGGCAGAACTGTAAAAAGACATTCCTAAGGTAATGTAACCAATCTGAATTGGTAATGGTGAAATTGTGGGCACTTTTTAAAAAAAAAATAGAAGCCCTTGAGAGTGGTCTACTCACAAAAACTGCTGCTGAATAATTGTGGTTTTAACTCTGAGAAATATAGTGTGCTGAACCGAAATCTTCACACAGTACTAATAATTTCTTCTGCCTGCAAAAACTATTTCCGCCAAGGAGTTCCTTGGCAGGTGAGAATGTCCTCATTCTCTTGATTGTTTAGTAAATACACACTAAAGAAGATAAACACAATGTTAGCTGCAGGTTAAATAAATAATTTGAGTGAATGAATAAATAATTTGATAATCCTTCTCTGAATTAGAAATAAAATAGATTGCTGAAATTAATAAAATGTCGTTTTAAAAGCTTCCAATTAGACCTGACTCCTTGGTGAACTTTACTTTTTTTTTAACTTTAAGGAAAATAATTGTTACTTTAAGATGAGATATAATGTCTTTATTTTTCATTTTTAACAAGTTTATTCTTAATGGGAAGAAATAAGAAATGTCTATCTAAGCAGTCTATGTCCAGAGTGTTAAATCAGGAGTTCTAAATAATACTTAGTCAAACTCAATTTCATTCATTCATTCATTCATTCATTCATTCATTCATTCATTCATTCATTCATTCAGTCTGTCATTCATTCATTCATTCATTCATTCATTCATTCATTCATTCATTCATTCATTCATTCATTCAATTTTTATAGCTGCCCATCTCAATTAATNGATAGATAGATAGATCGATAGATAGATAGATCGATAGATAGATAGATGAGAGAGAGAAAAGAAGAGGGAGAGACAGACAGACAGACAGTCATACTGAATGAGGAAATGTGAGATTGTAATGACCCCACACATTTGAAAAATATCAAATTGGGGAAGACTGGGACAAAACATCAGCTATCTCTGTGAAATTAATAGAGTATTTTAACTTACTGCACCTGTGTAATGGTTTGTCAATTGCATTCTGGCAGATAGGACAGCAGGTTAACATCATTGTCCAAAGGATGATTGGTTGTCCTCTCTCCTCTTTGGAAGAACTTTATAGCTCCTGCTGCATTAAGACAGTTCAAAACATTCTTAAAGAATGTTTTTCATTGTTTATAGTTATAATGTACACTGAAGATAGCATTTAATTTCGTTGTACCATGTGCAGTGACAATAAACTAAACTAAACTAAGCTAAACTAATTACTAGGAGAACATTTACATTTTGAAGTGGTTCATTTCCCAAATTTTAAATTGTCTGGCCTCAGCTGCAATTCAGCAGATTGTAGTGTTTTGCTGTAGAACCCTTTTACTAATATCAAACAAACACACAGTAGCAATATACTCACTTGATTAATTAAGAGGAAGTATACATAAACAATATGATTTCAATCAAAGTTATAAATATAACATTTCCTTTCTTTCAAAAAGCTACTTCTTCACATGTATTAGCTGTGCTCAATATGAAAACGCATATGCTTATTCTATGGATAGATAAAACATATTGTTTGAATTCCTCCAACTTTTTGTTGGAAACAATTCCTGGCTTTCCCATTGAAAAGGGAGATCAAGTAGGATGTGATGCAAAAAATTGTGATTGATACCTTGGAGATTTTTTTCAGAGTAGAAGATAGTCAACTAAAAGGACAGATAATCTGACATGCTGCAGGATACATTCCCGTATTTCTGTTAGAAATATTAAGATGCTCATCAAGTAATATTGGTATATGGAAGTAACATTAAGTATAATGTAGAAACAAAAGGGCCAGATCCTTTGCATTACTGCTTTAAACATTCTTGGTAGCAAATGATAGGAAAAACATTTGCTTGAAACATTGGTAAGATTATGGTTTTCAGAATACTTAATCCTGATATCATGATTTGGTTGAATGCTAAAATAAGGATCTGATGGCCATAGCTCTTTGACTAAGATCTGTGTGTGTGTGTGTGTGTGTGTGTGTGTGTGTGTNAGATAGATAGATAGATAGATAGATAGATAGATAGATAGATAGATAGATAGATAGATAGAGATCCTTTCTTCCCAAAGCATAAAGTGGCATACATAGCATTCTCTCTTTAAGTTTTTGCTCTTCAAAACAAAGCATGACTGGCCAAAATCATACAGTGAACATCAGCTATGTCTGAGGGTTAACTTGAACCACATCAGTTCTCAGTTTAATCTAAGATTTATTTGATTCTTATTTAACCATTATTTATAAACCTGTGTGGTTCTGAACTGTTCTGGTTGCAGTGCCCATTTGGGAAGACCTAGGATACTGCTGTAGGAAAATGTTCTCATGTTTCTATCTGGTGCAAAGCCAGCTCACTCTCCTGTGGCTACCTTGGAAAGCATGTGAGCATTTTCTTCAATAGAAATAGTTTTATTCAACTTGGCAGCCAAAGTCAAACCCTAATCCTAACCCTAGCCCTAACTCTGCAATAGGATTGTGGTCACTTGGTTTATGTAACAATGCCATATGCTAATAATAATACCCTGTGCAGAACTCTGTCTTATTTAAGGCATATAGTATATTACTAAAATCTCTTGTGTCTATGTGTGTGTATGTGTGGGTGTGCAAGTATGTGTGTGTGAGAAAAAGTACTGAACATATTGATTAATATTCTGCTCAAAAATCTTATTTGTTTCATGTCTTTAGTTCTTCTGAAAGACAAGGTGTATGGTTAGTGGCTCCCTTGATTGCAAAGCTGCCGACATCTGTTCAAGGCCGAGTCTTGAAAGCAGCTGGAGAAGAACTAGAGAAAGGCCAGCACTTGGGATCATGTTCAAAGAAGGAGAGAGACAGGCAAAAACAGAAGAGGTAGAAGATACTGGAAAATATGGCTGTATTTCAAACTAGTAATCTCTGCAAAGATGAGCTGTAGGATTTTATCCTTCTTTAAAGAAACCAGTAGAAACCAGATTTGATTTTTTTGGGAGGGGGAGGACACTCAAGTGTGGTAAATTCATTTTTAAGAAAATGAGCCCTGTAAATTCTTAAATGAAATGAAGTCTACTTGTGGTGCTCCCTATTACTATAAATATTGTGTTTAGAAAAGTAAACTAAATACTTATCCTGAAAACTAAGAAAAGAGCATCAAAGTAACTTATTTTGTCCTTAATTTAAACGTGAAGCTGACTGCTTTTGCAGTAGATCTACTTACCACAAATATACTTTTTAAAAATAAATAAATATTAGGATTGTGTTTAGGAATTTGGTAAATCATGACATACTAAGATGTCTGTCTTTTCCTGAATACCAATTCATATTATAGGTGTTTGTCTAAATTTGGAATTTTCTCTTTCTTTTCTGTTATTATCCACATCAAATTTCATATTTTAAAATTAAATGTATGCCATTAATTAGTATTAATTTGTCTTGAACCAGTTCTCAAAAAGGAATTAAATAATATTTGTTACCAAGATGAGAAAATGCTCCTTGCTAAATATCCTTTGAGTTGCTTGGTAACTCAATTGCATACTATTTTTGTCACCATGAAAGTAAAATACAAAATGGAAAAACAGGAAAAACAAGAATCTACTTCTTTACCTTGTCACTAGGATCAGCTGACTTGTCTCAAAGTACAAGACGATTTGAGATGTTTATCTTTCATGAAACAAAAAGTGTCACACATCTCTTATTATTAGGCAATATTAAATTATTTGCCTAAACAAGTCATTTTATGCTTGCTATCCTGAAGAATCTTATGTAAATTGATTTATAGATCACTACAGAAAAATTTAAAAAATACTCTTTCTAAGATGCATTTTTCAATAGCGGGAATGTGTACTTCTGTAAATTGTTATTTTCAGACACTGTTTATTCATGCAAAAGTTATCAATGTTTTGAAGAAGCTTCCTACTTTTAGAATATTTTATTGATTTATTTATCACATTCACAAACTGCCCATCTGCCTCGGAGAATGACTCATAAGGGAAGCTCTCTTCGCCCTGACCGTAGTCCGTTTGACACATCATTTTGCTCACATGCATGAGTAAAGGCAGGAACAGTTTTGTGGTTTTTAAATAGTGATGAGAGTTTATAAAAAAAACCTTTTAGAGAAATACTGACAAGGGGAAGGAAGAATTTGGATACAGGAAGTATCAGAAAGACACATCTAATTCAGTGTCCATCCTGTTTTTTTTTTTTTTAAAGTATGTCTCTTCTGAGTCAGCAACCATTCCTATCTTTGGTACTCACTTGTCTCAAGGGACAGGATGAACAGCGTGAAGGGCTTCTAACATCTCTGCAAAATCAAATTAATCAGGTAATAACCAGACAGTGCTGTGTTCTGCATCTGTTAAAAACCAATTAAAGTAATGGACTGAGGCAGATGGGAAACTATATCTCAAACTACATTCGTACCCTTTGTGGCAAAATCAGTGAAAGTAATTCATTTATAAATCTTGTTGACCTGATTTCCTTCACCATTTTTAGTATTCTACAAATCTGCTGAATTTCTCGGAAATAAAAATACTCACCAGGCCAGTGGTGGGTTGCCAATTTTTTTGCTATTGGTTTGGGCGTGCTTGTGAGTGCGACATTTCTGCGCATGCACAGAAGCTTCTGTGCATGCGCAGAAGTGTTCGGGTGGGTGGGCAGAGGCTTCCGCTGCTGTTACTGCTGGTTCACCCAATCCAGGCCAAAATGGGAGCAACCCATCTCTGTAACAGGTCAACAAGAACCTGTTCCTTGTATTATAGTAGTGGTCTTATTCCATTTCAGTAACGCCTTCCAGATCTTTTTATAGGAATAATACAAAATTCAAATGAACTCCTACATTTACAGTATATGAACTTGGTGAGATATTTAATTATTTTTCATTGTAATCTCCTATAACACTTGTCTTTGTACCAGTGGAAACTTATATGGCAAGGAGAATTGACTTTTGAGGCACTAAGACACAATTTGCACAACAGTCCTGTCCAGAAGCAACTGTCTATTAAAACCTGTCCTACAAATTAAAGTAAATGAGGTAGTAGAATTAACAATCCCTTTTGTATTGGACTTGGAGCATGTATTAATTTTGTATTTTGTGTAAGAAAAAATTAGTGCATCAAAATTTAACCCCAACCTTTTAAAATATTTCCTATAAGTCCTTGACTTATGTTCTACCTCAAAAAGGGGACATGCAACCCAGATCAAACATTTTTATAGTTGCCCCCCTAAGTTTGGGTGCATGAAAATATAGCCACATTTATATCCATTTGCAGAATGCCACAGTCCTATGGCCATGTTTTACGCTGGTTTTGTAAAAACCCAGCATTTTCAGTTTTTAGCAAAATGAACCATGGGTTTGTTTAACAAATGTGGCATTTACGTTTATGATTGTCACATTCATTTAATGACCACCACAAAAAAATTGTAAAACTACATAGTGAATTTACCAGCATTATGATTCATGGCCATAATCTCTACACTCCTTTATGGCTATAACTCGAGGACTACCTGTAAATGGATTGGGCAAGTGGAAAGATATCATCAGTCTGTTCCCCAAAAAATCCAAACCCTTGTATTGTCTAGAGGGATATTTACTATTTGCCTTGTTAATATGGGGTTTTTATATAGCTGTTACTAGAGGAAAGCCAGTTTAGTGTAATGGTTAAGGCACTGGGTTAAAAATCAGGAGACCTTGTGTTCTAGTCCCACCTTAGGTGCAAAGCCACTTGGATGACATTGGGCCCATTTTCTCTCAGCCCTAGGGAAGCAGCAACAATAAACCACTTCTCAATCTTGCTACAAAATATTAAAATAATCATTGTTTTAACTGACAGAATATTTTTCTTTGAAGACTTTCAAAATAAATATTATAATAGGAAATAATATTGTAGTTTTCCATATATGTAGTGTTATGTTTAAACGGTTGAGACAGAGTAAATAAAGCAAGCAGAAGTGCAACAGTGATCAAATAAGAAGAGAAGTGTACAATAAATTCAGCAGCAAATATCAAAATAATAGAGTTGGAAGGGACATTGAAGGCTTTCTAGTCCAACCCCCTGCTCAAGTGGAAATTTTATAATATCTTAACCTTTATAACATGTTAAAAAGACGTATCATGTTATACAGGTCTATAAACAAATAAAGCACATAGGTGCAAACATATTTTTCTTCCTAGATATTAAGCAACTGGAGGGAAGAACGATACCAAGATGATGTTAAAGCAAGACAAATGATGCATGAAGCATTACAACTCCGTCTTAATTTGGTAAGAAAGAAGAATATTTATTTACTTAAGGAGGTATTTGTTTATTATTTAGAATAATGTTGTGCCTCTTCCCAGAGTGATCTTTCAGGCTGCCTGAAGCAGAAAGAGGCTTGTAAAGTTTCTTAATTTAATTATTGTTCCTTATTCTTTAGAGAATAAATAATGCATTTCCTTACAATTTAGATTTCTTTGTTTGTTTGTTTATTCTATTTCTTAAATTAATTTAGTATCTTTAAAGAGATTAAACTTGGTATCACAAATATAAAATTAAATATGGATGACACTTAACAATGTGATAAATCAAACATCAGAAAATAACTGGAGAGAAGAAAAAAATTTCTAATTTCCTTCCCTTGGATCACAAAAAGTCCAGGCAAATGAAAAAAAGTCTTGATCACATATTAATTGCTCTCAGGTTATCCTTCATAGTCATATTTTCACCCCCTACTTAAGCCGCTTGGAATTCTGCACACCATACAATATTACAGTCTAAAACATTTCCAGTGCAGGTTTACTCATAAAGAATAGTTAGAAAATAAAGATTGTACAGCACATTTGGTTTATCTTTTTTATCTCTATTTTTTTTTCAATGCTTTAGGTTGGTGGAATGTTTGATACAGTGCAAAGAAGTACTCAGTGGACCACAGACTGGGCACTTTTACTCCTTCAGATAATAACATCAGGGACTGTTGACATGCAAACCAATAAGTATGTGCAATCTAATGCATATTATATAATATGGCTTCTAGTAATTTGAGTAACAATATTATTTGTAATGCAAAAATTCATTCATTTTGCACAAACGGAAATATTTATTTATTAATTAAATTTATATGTCACCCATCTGACTATCAAGTGACTCTGGGCAGCAAACACAATACTGTGTTTCCCCATAAATATGACCTGCTCAAAAAGTAAGTCCTAGCTTGATTTTTACACATGTGCCCAATATAAGCCCTACCCCCAAAATAAACCTTAATTAAGATCCTGCCCACTCCAGGGTGCACAGGTAAAAATTAAGCTAGGGTGGGGATACCTTCGGACAGTTGCAGCCAGTCCTCGCACACCTAGGCCCATTTCTTCTGCAGCTGGCAAGGCTTTCCCGAAGGCCTGTCTAACCTACAACAGAGCTCCAGATCGATCTGGAATTCTTACTGTATTTTAAATTCTAAACTAATTTCAAAAATAATTTCTCCAAGTTCTATTCATGAGTTTTCTTAAATTAAGGTAACTTAACTACCTTGGATTCAGCCAAGGATATGAATGTGGGTTGACTAGTGCTGGTTACTGTTTTAGACAAAGGTAAGTATGATAATGTTTGTGTTGACAAGGTAGGCTTGGCTGCTCCTCAACATTTATAAATAAAATAAAATAGAGTGTGGGAGATGATATTATTCCACAACCTGATTTGAAATATTGCACAAAGTTTATGGTGTCACATGGTATTTCTCTATGAGAATAACGGTTGTAGATGCCTTTCCTCTTTTTAAAACATAAACTCTGTCCTTATATTTCTGCATGTGACTTTGCAATCCAAGTTTAAAAATATGAGGCTTATGTCATGATTCACACAACTGATTAAGGCCCAGGAAACTAAAATATATGAAGTACGGCTGCAGGATTTGGGTTTGGCTAGTCTAGAGAAAAGAAGGATTTGTAAGGACATGAAAGCAATATTTCAGTATTTGAAAGAATGCAAAGAGGAGGGGGTCAATTTATTTTCCAAAGTACTAGAGGGCAAGGCAAGAAGCAATGGATGGAAAATAATCAAGGAGAGAAGCAACCTGGAATTATGAAGAAAATTCCTAACAGTTAGGACAATTAACCAGTGGAATAGCTTGCCTTCAAACGTTATAGATGCTTTAAAGTTATAGCTTGCCTTCAAAAGTTATAGAAGTTTTAAATAAAAGATTAGACAGCCACCTGTCTGAAATGGTATAGGGCTTGAGCAGGGGGTTCGACTTGGAGACCTCCAAGGTCCCTTCCAGCTCTATTCTGATTAATGCCATCAATATAAATATACATAAATAAATAAAGGGAGACTAGTATAGATCTATTTCAAGCTATTTAGCTCTCATCAGCTAGCCATATACATATACATATACATATACATATACATATACATATACATATACATATACATATACATATACAT